TAATTTTATGCCTTAACAGAGGTTCCTGCTCAAGAATCCCCTTTACAGGGCTTGGAACAAGAGGTGAAAAAATTTGTGCTCTCTGGAGTTATTTATATATGCTTGTATATTCCTAGTAATATTTCTCTAGACCAAAAAGAAAAAATCAAATCCCTAGGCCAAAGGCCACAATCCTCCTAATATATGTGTACATGTCTGCTCCAATCATCATTAGACTGAACCTTAAAACTACCGGATTTTAATATCTGCATCAATGGGGGAAAATTCTGATCGGGCTGAGAGCAGTATTAGGCTTATGCTACAGCAAAGGATCTACGTTAACATCTATCCTGCATAGATTTGACCTACTCCTCTGAATCCAGACAAATTCATGTGACAACAGAAATCGGCTAATAATTACTATCCAAAATACTAATTACTGTCTTATTAAGTATGTATTATCTTTAATTGTACTTACTTTATTTCCAGTGAGATTTCTACATCCATGGGTGTGTATTTGTTAACAGGAATTACATAACTGTAATTTCCAGACCTGGAAAAGGTGGCATTAATGCACATAGGATTTTGAGATAGACAGTATCTTTGCAAAAATGTGGAAATTGCATTTAAATTTAAAGAAAACAAAAATATGCAAAGGTATAAAAAACTCCTGCATGCTGGACGAAGCAACTGTGAGAAGGAGCCAGACAAGCAGCCGTGCCATATTAATGGTATTTTATTCCACCATAATAAAGCATAATAAAACAATTTACCTACCTGCACTGTAGATTTTTACTACAATAGCTGTTGTCAATGCTTTGCTGAGTTTCCAAAATCCGTATGGAACTGACTGTTGTATCAATCCCTAAAAATATTAAGAATAATGTTTTATTCTTGATTATTTCAGAAATATTAGCTAAGAGCATAATAAAACTGCCTTAAATATAGTGGCATCTACTCTCTGGCTTGCCACTACAGGAGTTGCTGCAGGTATAAATTAGCACTCAGTAAAAAGCCTCTGGTTGATTACCTTCATTCTGCCATCATAATGATGGCATCTTACCTCAGCAGAGGTAAGATCCTTGTTCAATTTACAGGGACAGATATGCTGGGCACCTAATATTGTAACATTTTCTTTTGGGCAGACATTGAAGGCTATTTTGACGGCAGTCCGAGTAAAATACAAATGTGTTAATGTTCATTTTAATGTACTAGAAGCCACGCTCATGCAAGTAACCATTAACTTGAAAAACATTACCTTTGCTCAGAGAAATCATTTGGAATGCAACAAAACTTGTTCCTAATTCTATGTGCAGGAGAACTGCCTAACTCTAATGAACATTATAATTTCTTCATAAAATGTTGCCTTGAACTTGCAATAACTTAAGAGTTTTGCAATATCCTACATATACAACAAAGGGTATAGCAATGATGGTGTGGCTCTTCCCCAAGGCAGCTTAGCCCTGTGGAGAGGTAGGCAACAAGAACCAGCACGCTAACACAGCAGCACAGCTTCTGCTTTCACAGGCCTAGGAATCACTGCACTGAGCTGCATCCTGAAAAGCTTATTTCTTCTGGATACATCTACAGCATCCAACCAGTGCAGGTCCATAGTAAGGACCTGCAGCATCTCAGACCCCTAAACCAGCTGACTTCAGTCTCAACTGTGAAGGGCCCTCAAGTGGAAGGGGCTGAACAAGTTTAATCCCCTTGAGTGGACCTAGGTTCACGCTGCCAATGACTTGGGGAAGGCCTAGGTGTGGAGGGAGCGTGTGGGGCATCAGCAGATAGCCAGACTCCAGCTGCTGACTACAGCATCAAGCTGCTGATATTTAAAGTCTTGCAGTGTGGTGCAGAAAGTACAAAGAGGACCTGGCAGGCCCAAGACTGCTCTTCACATTGCGCTTTGAACACTGCTTTTGTGTTTCTCTTCCTCTGTTCTACAGCAACAGTTCCCTGCTTTGCAGAGAAACTTGATGATTATAAGCTGATCTGTGCTCTGATTATAAAACATCTGTGTAGTAGCATATACTTAACTTTCAGCATGCAAATATCCACAGGTATGCTTAACTGACAGAGAGAAATTGAGCATGTTAATCTCAAAGAACTAGCACAGGGGAACATTTCCCTGTGATGCAGTATCTCAGTACAACACGTACCACAGTAAAGCCACAGAGGATCTTTCCTGAGGTGTGTAGACATGTGAAAAAAATCAAAAGGGGAAAGATTTTCCCCTTATTACCTGCGTTAAGTGCATGCCAGTGTATAGATTTTTTTACCATCCAAATACTGCCTGATCTTTAACCAAATATTTACTAAAAAACCCCAAACCTTAAAACAGAGCATCCACATAAACAGAAAAGACAAGGCACAATCCTGCTTATACTGAGTGAATGCCAGAGCATGCTGTTCTAACATATGTAATCAGCAGATAGCCATCTTCACGGAAATGAATCAATATTTTCAGCCCAGCCTGGCTCTGACAGCAGTGTGCAGTTGCTACCAGGGGAGCCTGAAACCAAGCCAAAAGTCTTGTGCCAAAGAACTTCATACCAGCTCCACTGAGGCAGGCAGTGTCAGGATCCTAAGGTAAAGATGGCCCTTGTCAAGCAGCTGATGCTTTAATTCACTAGGTCAACTGATCCAAACCCAAACACTTCCTTTACACTGTATCATGCTTTTCCTGCACACAAATACTACACTCACATCCTTTAAGCATTTGCTGTGTAAGGGTTAGCAGCGTTAAGCACCTTGCAAGATTTTAGCCCCTGTCAAGGAAAATGTCACTTGTCATTTTATTGCATCTGAAGACAAGTCAAAAGAGTCTCTAGAGAGGGCAGCCAGAATGTCTATAAAAATCTAATAAAGATGTAAGAATAAATTGGGATGACAAGAAAATTACAGTGAATCACAGGTATTCAATAGATTCCTAAGTGCTAATTCTCTATCATGCTCACTTATAAATGAAACTTCTCTAATTCCAGCAGCAGAACTCCAAGCCTAAAGGTAGCTCTTTGAAGTTATACAATCAATATGTTTCAACAGGTTTTTTGTAAAATACAAGACTTACAGTCACTTCCAAGGTCAAGTCTTTCATTAGATTTTTTGGCTGGATCTTGCTCAGGTAACACGTCACTTCTGCTTCCTGTGAAAGGATGTATGTAGAAATATTAGCCTTGCACAGTTGTAACAGCAAAATATGAATACAACACCTGGAGATATGTTGTTAATTATCTCTTGGATAAAGGTATTCATAACCACAAGAGACACCTTTAAAATACAAAGCACTTCTATTCAGAAGAAAATATATACATTCAAAGGAGTTTGTACATAACAAGAAACAAGCTTTTGAAATGCTATAGGATATATAAAACATTTCAGAAAAAAAAACTAGTAGAGTAAATTTCATCTCAGACACAGAATACCACCAATTGCTATAACACAGAGACAAAGCAAAAGTCAACATCCAGTCAGGCACTTCAGCACACATCTGATCATAAAACCACATCTTTCTTATTAGTGATAGTGAGAAAACAGAGTTAGTAAGAATCAGTATCTGCCACACAAACATAGGCCAGGGGAATAAATTAGCTTTTTGAGTGCAAGATGTAAGACACTGAGGACTGATCCAAGTGAGACACAGCACTTCAGAAAGAGAAGGATGAATCACCAAATTAAAGAAACTAATACACAGCTCTAACAAACAACATGATCATCATGCTCAGTGATGCCACCTCTGTGATTTGGAATATTGAACTAGAGTGGGAAATATAAGCTGATGCTTATTGTTATTCTTATATTAGTTTTCTCAGCACTTCTGTAGAAAAGTGAACTTTAAAAGGTCTTTTGAATAATCATCACATAGTACAACCTGAGGAAGGCAAAAGGCCCTTCAGGCTCATGGGAAATGGTTTAAAGCCATTCCTGGGCTTTTACAGTAACTGATAGCCAAGAATCTGTCCAGACACATGTTACCAATAAACTGGCACCAAGAAATGTTGATCTTGCCTAAACTAACATGCTTCATTAAATACGATTTCATCTGTGGAAAAAAAATAAAGGAATAATGTATTTCTAGAATATCAAAATGCTCAGTTCCCACATTTTCCAAAGAAAAACCCTGATTTCAAAATGACTGTTTAGAACAGAAGCCACTATTTCATTATATAAAAAATTATTTTTACAAAAGGAAAAATCAAAATTAATTGTTTCACTGAAACAAGACAGCTGGATTGACCTTACTATTTTCTTATTAATTCCAGATTTTCATTTCAGGATTGGGAAATAAGAAAATCCAGATTTTTCTTATGCTATTAGGTGATTGAGAGCATGGAGCAACATTAACAACTGGAATATGAGAACCCAGAAGCGATATAGCACAAAATCATCTTTGGGATTTCCATAATATTTGTGTTTTGTTATGATGTGATACTGCTGCTAATTACTCCTTGAATCCATTTTCTATTTACTTGGTCATCATACAGATCTACCAGTTCTGCCAACTTAGGTGGTAACTGTTGCATTTAGTAATAATCTGTAATTACTCTGCTCTCATGAGACCTTGAGAGTCTTGTGTACAGTTCTGGTGTCCACGGCATAAAGGGGACATGGAGCTGCTGGAGCAAGTCCAGAGGAGGCCACAAGGACGACAAGGGGGCTGGAGCACCTCCCGTATGAAGACAGGCTGAGAAAGCTGGGGCTGTTCAGCCTGGAGAAGAGAAGGCCTATAAGGATGCTGGAAAGGGGCTCTTTGTTAAGGACTGTAGCGGTAGGACAAGGGGTAATGGATTCAAATAGGGGAAGTTCAGGTCAGGTATAAGGAAGAAGTTCTTTACAGTGAGGGTGGTGAGGAACTGGAATGGGTTGCCCAGGGTAGTTGTGAATGCTCCATCCCTGGCAGTGTTCAAGGCCAGGTTGGACAGAGCCTTGGGCGACATAGTTTAGTGTGTGGTGTCCCTGCCCATGGCAGGGGGGTTGGAACTAGATGATCTTAAGGTCCTTTCCAACCTAAACCACTCTGTGATTCTCTTGTCCCATTTCTTTATACTATTGCACATACCTAGAAAAATGGCTACTGAACACATACAATCATTATACATGTACGGTAGGTCTTGAGACAGACCTAGAAAAAGCCTATTAGTTCTTTTATTCTTCCTTTTAATTTACAAACTAATTGTCATATCTTTATTTCACTTTCTTCTGTTTTCTCTTAATAGTCTAGGTATGTTAGCAATTCATCAAATGTTCCCTGCCATTCTTCATTTTCATTAACGGAGAACTATTCCGTAGGAAAACCTGTATCCCTTAGTAAAGGTAAAAGATTGCTCACTGAAAGAAAGATGTTCCCCCTGTAGATAAAATACTTCAGCTGTGCAGGAATATTTATTAAGTATTCTGAATTACTAAACATTTAACACTGTGATTCTTTCACAGATGATGGAGGAAAGTATGAAGTGGGAATGAGAATTTTATATAAAAACCAGGATGAAGGCAGATTTACTTCCCTAGGATCTCAGTTATTTAAGTGAAGTCAGTAACCAGTATAGAAATTTATTTTTACTTTTTTTTTTTCACTCATCATAAAATTACCATTTCATTGTCCTTTAAGCTGATGCAAACCAAATGAAATGTAGAAACCTGGACCCTAATGTTATTTTTATTTGGAACTCAAGTTACCAATTCAGAACACCAGGAACCACCAAAAACCACTGTAGCAGCCTTCAGTAAATTGTGAACTTCCACTCTGCACATACAGTAACTCTGAGGGCTTTCTCAAGGCCCGTGTGGGGCATGAAGATCCAATTCAATAATAAATATGAAAGTATTACCACGACTAGAATGTAATGAGGAAAACCATTATCTTCAGATTAGATTCAGATAAATACCACATCCAATAAATGTGGTATCTTTTCTTTTTTTTTTTACTTAAAGCACTTTCTGGTTTTAATTCAAATGAGTTGTAATATGCTATAAGCATTATGGAAAAAACCTGCTGGTGATTTCTTGTGATGGTAGTAGCTTGCTATGAATCCATTAACTGTCATCTGAAAACAATAAATGCAAATGCTTGAAGCTGACCAAATCCCAGCAGGAGCCCTCACCAAGCTTTTATTGCAGGGAGAGACACCAGGGAGAAACAACACTCTGAAAGAAAGTAAGGACAGCCCCTGGTTACCAGAAACACTTAGCATGAAGGGGCAAGCACTAAGGGACACGGAAGCAGAGAGCAGAGAAGGCCCAGATGCCAAAGGGTATTCACACTGCTCACTTACACTGAAATCAGTAAGAGTTTGAAAGTCTAAATTCTTCAGAGAAACCAGCCCCTAATGCAAATAAAGTATGAGGGGGAAAAGGCCTCATTAAACTAGATTACATGAAGATGTGCTGAATTTTTGTTAATAAATTTTTTCTTGCATATGAATGCTTTTGTTTCTACTTGAACACTCCTAATAGCCTTCTTCTCAACAAATCTGAGATGCAAGGGATTGGGAGCTACAATGGATGTACTCAGTAGTAGCCTACACCCACTGAATTCAGGTATCACATAATGGAGCATATCTGTGAAATATGAACTCCTAAATTAGCATTTAATTCAACTGTAATTTCAAATAGTTTTATCTTTCCACAAATCAGATAATTAGCTGATTCTAAAATATCCACTGTTTATCTTGATTATTGCCCATATTTAATTCTTAGTTTCTTGTTCTGAAGACATTTTCTTTTTCATTTATCTTGCCTACAGAAACATTAAGCAGCTTGTTGGTTTTCCTTCTGTTTGGGTTTCATATTGACATTGTTACCTTCCATCTGGGGACACATTCAGCTTCATTAACCTTGTGCAGATCTGAAATCTTTCAGTAGCTTGTGTACTGTGCTGATTTTTCACTCTTGGATCCACGCTTAATGCTATTTGGAGCATAAGACCTTGAGAAGGTAATGCTTTGTGTTTACTTTTTCCATCTAATATCAAAAGCAGCCAGCTGGGGATAGAAGGCTTTCAAATTTCATTTTCATCTCTCTACAGTTCTCTCATTTGTAAATTAGATTAATACCTTTTTAATTAGTCAACACTTTTAGACTGTAGAGCAATACAAAGCACTTAGGTATAACCTCTTGAAAGCACTGTACTGAGCTCTGTCTGCCACGGGGCTTCCTGCAGCACTAAGAATCATAAGGACGACTTGTATGCAGCTTGTCTGCAGACAACACTCTGCAGTATAAAGAATGGCCAGTGGGTGAACCCCACTGAAACAGTTTATGCGGTTAAGAGTGTCCAGCAATTGGCAATGTCTGCCCTGGCAGACATTTGTACTGCATAAACTGAACTGCATCTGTCCCCAGTTTTACCTCAACTTGTTAGCTGTGGTTGGTGCAAGAATTGTTCCCAAGGCCAAGAAAGGAAGAGTATGAATGCTAGGTTTAGTAATATGAACACTTGCTTCCAGAGACTGACAATGTAACCCTCCACTACCTCCAATCAACTCCTGTCCAACTGTAGACAAAGGTTAATTGAAGGTATCAGTGACTTTCTGGTTCACGTGAAATCATTTATGGTGAATGGGCAGGAAGAACAGTGACAGCTGACAAAACATCTCAGGACCCAATATTCTTGATGGTGACCAGGCCAGATTTTTCAAAAACATTGACTGCAATGATGATTAGTTGTATCAGGATTTTTTAAATCCTCTGGACTAGGCTCTTTTGTAGGAACCTAACTACCTTCCTCTACACTCTTCATATAGTCTTTACTCACATGGCGAATAATAGAAATTAATGTTTCAACTTACGTTTCGTCTTTACATTGGTTTCCTCGTAAGTTGGAGATCTGACTTTTGGTTGATGAATTGGACAACAGTAGACCTTGTCACAAGGCAAAATGTCGCAGAAATTCACTTCAGGGATCCCACTGACAGGTTGAGTGCTCTGAGAAATTGTGCTTTCCCCATGAAATTCTAAAGGAAAAAAGAAAGACACAATTTTATAATAGCACAGAAACTGAAAGTCTGTTACATGCATGCAGACCAGCAGAGATACTGTACCTGCTGTGGTAGTAGAGTGAGAGAGTAGAACAGAACTTGTAGTGCTGATGAAGAAAAACAATTCATTAAGAAGTGGACATCAGAGCTTTGGTCCACAACCTATTACTAATTCTAATTGGCTAATTTAACTACTTGCCTGTAAACTGGATGTTTTTCAAAACTTCTGTCATGAATGCTAAGTAAATACAGGGTCGAGATCGTCAAAGCACTGTAGAAAGAGAATTATTCTGTAGATTTACATCTTTCTCTTATGTAACATAATATGAATAATACTTTGACAGCACCTTGTCAAAATGTAGTAATGTATGAGTCAACTATCTGATCACTTTCCCTTTAGTGGGAAAAATTTCAACTGAATTTAATAGAGTTTAGATCAGATACATGTATAAATGTATGCATATACTTGTATTCAACACAAAACATGGTCAGTTTTCAATTGTAAATAGAATTGCAGCACCAGTTCAAAGCACTCACTCCACAGAGAGATTGTAAGACCTAGGGTTTTGGACTGGAAACAGAAAAATGGCAATCTCAGAAGTCCAGCGTGTACTTTCCTTTCCACAAGTCCAATGTCACAAGTTAAACTTTCATAGTCACAGGACTGCCCACATGCTGAAACAAGTCCAGCTTCATTTCACACAACTGAATCACTCTGTACATCAGAAATTGTACTTCAGCACAGAATGGTTGCATAAAACATGTAAAGTCTCACGAGTTCAGCTTTGCACCTGCCACATGAGCCACCAAGATTCATTCAAGGTGCAGCATACATTGGTGACATGGACAGAGATTAGGTGTGTGCGCACCATATGAGTATCTCACTTTCTAAAACAATTTCAACTTTACAGTGTTACCAGGTATCTTCACTGTTAATTTTAATACATTGTGTTATTTGAGCAGGAAGGGTGAGAAGAAGAAAAAAATTGCAGACTTCTTTCTGATGAGATAAGTAGAAAGGGGAAGTGAGAAGAACCAAGTCAACTTGTTGATAATTAATTGTTACCATAGTGCCATAATAGCAATCAAAGCTATTACTGTCACCCGGAAAACCTTCATGGAGCAAGACCCTTTTGTCTTTGACAAACAAACCTAGAAACAAAAGAAGATGCTTGGTTAATTTAACATAACTAAGCTGGTACTAGTAGATTAAAGAATACTACATTAGTCTGACTATAGGTTAACCTTGTTTCTTTCAGAGGAACCATACAAATCATCTTTATATAAGGGTCACGTCTAAAGAGAAAAACTTAAGTAATGAAAGGCTCCCAAAAAACGTGAATGAAATGTGCGTAGTTGATAGTCTGGGGAAACAAACATTACAAAGGAAGAAAAGATGGGTATAACAGCTCCTTCTCTTTTCTTCCTGCCATTTTTCATACTCTTGAAGTATTTCAAAATGAAATTAAGAACTCGTCAGTGGCCAGAACTAAGACATGAGCAGCTTTCAGTATATACTCAGACCAAGTTAAACCAGGGCCAGTGTAAATACGGAAGACACTATCCAAACAAGTAGGATGATCTTAGATGATGAAGCATTTTATTGTCATTATGGAATAAAGAACATTTGACCTGCTATTTTCTCTTGTTCTTTGGCACTCGCAAAAGCAAGGTAGACAAAAGAGCATTAATTCATCTTAAAGAACAGGACTTAGCAGCCTAGGGAAGACTGTCTTGCAAAAGGTCAGCTCACTCAATCTCTGTGAAAAGGAATCTCCTCTTTCTATATCAAGATATGGGCAGTCACAAATAGCAACGACATCCTATCCAGATCTTAACCAACTGAAGGACAGCATTATCCAGTATAAACCAGGAGATGCTAGCTACAAACCACAGTGAAAGATTCATCCAAAGAACAAAGCTGAGAAGAACTATCACTGTGCAGACTTCCAAACTGAAACGAGCATTTCTGTGCAAGGCTGCACTGCACCATGTGAGCACACCTACAGGCTCAACAGCTCTGTCCTGTTGGTCTTCTCCCTCACACCATTACACAGCGTGGACCTACTCTCACACATAATGTATAGGTGAGAAGAAGTGTCTCATACGTATTTTCTATCTCATTGCAGTTAGTTTTTAAGTTTCTAGCAGGACACTAAGTAAATACGGGTAAGGAATTTTATCCTATATTTAGAAACACAAAAGCATTCACCAATATTTCAGCACTTACAAAATCTCTTTCATAGGCATATGTTATATATTTCATATTTCACTCACCTTGCTGGATTTTAGTGGGACTGATTTTTTTGATGGCAAAAGACTGGTAGCTCGACTACACCTGCTGTAAGAAACAAGATCTTTATAACAGTCAAATGCTTCAGCAACTAATAAATGAAAAAGAGACATTTTCAATAGGGTGTTAATGTCACTTGCTTTCGCAATTTCAACATTTAAAAAGAGAAAGGCAGAAGTGTCGTCAGATTCGTTTTCAAGAACGAAGGCCTCCAGTTAATTCATTCAGGTGAATGCTATTAAATGTTACATTTGGTTTCAAAGAAAATTTGGGGAAATGATATCGAAATAGGAAGTGCTTATCACTTCCACTGAAGAACTAATGAGGATTTCTCCTTGCAGAAGCAGCTCTGCAGATTTCTCTTAGCAAAAATTTCCACACTCCACGGCTGTAACTGGACATAATCTACCCCTGCTTCGTTCCACTGAAGCAGTCACAAAAACTACTACAATTTGTCAGCCACTTATTAGTCAGTGAGTTAAGAAATATAAGAAATCGGCATTTTTTGCACTACTTAAATGCTGGAAATGAGCTGAGCTCCACTTTCAAGCAAAATTGGTTTTCATTTCCACCACAGAGAGCACTTTACCAATCTCTGACAACTATCAGAAAACATCCCAGACAGGTACCTGACTTTGCTCTCTTCACTGAAAGTTGACTTTAAACTGTTCATTCGTTTCAGCCTGGCCAGTTTCCTATTCCACTGTTCCAATTCTTCTATTCTGACTTCAAGATTGTTGGTTAGTTTACAAAGCTGCTTTACAGCACCAACATTCTCCATAAAGATCTGATCCTGAGAAGAAAACAATGACAAAAAGGAGATACAGTATATTCATGTCATATGTAACAAGGAGTAATGAATATAGAATTCACTTGTGTAAGGATACATTGAATATTTAAAATGCAAACACAAGTTACCTCATTGTAAATGAGATACGCTTATGACTATAAAACTTTTTCGCAAGACTAAAAATTGCTTATGTTCAATTCACAGTAAATTGAAAATGAGGACTTGCAGAAGAACTTGAAGAAACTTTGTAAACCAAGAATTAAAACTATATTTTATCTTCATACTGTGTTGAATTTTAAACCTTAACACTCTCACAGAGGCATCTACTATCTGATTTGTAGTGCTGCCTTAGTGTCACAATCTAACACCACTGCTCTTCTGTGATCACCTAGAAACCAGCTACAGTTTGGATCCCTGATCAAATGCAGCAAATTTTCTAGAAGTCTCCTTTTCAACAGCATCTCTAGGAAGTGTTCTTCCCATAACTTTAATCAAGGAGTCTAATTCACACTTCCTTTATATGGAAAACAGCCTAGCAGATTTAACCTGTGAATTTAACTTGTTTGTAGCCTATCAAAAGAAGACAAGTGAAATACAATATTTTTAATAGATATTTTCTCCAAGTTTGGTGGTATAAACTGGTGTTTTCTATAGAATAATGAAAGAATGCATGATTATAATGAATACAGGATCATGTTCATGACATCATAGCCGGACAAGACACAGCTACCAATCTGTAAAACCTCCCTCTTGCCATTACCAGCTATAAGCAGGAAAAAGCTGGGAAGTGGTCCTCTGACCTGCATTGAATGGCACACAACAGAGGGGCCTCTCTGAGCAATGTTCTGGACAAGCACTCTCTGCAGTCATATGTAACTGGACTCTGTGAATGACAGTCCCTTGCAGCCCTATTTCTACAGGAAAAGAAGGGGAAGAGAGCACAGGACAATAGGCTAAGCCATTGTTTCCAACCTGTGAGCATGGTAATTACTTTCTGTGCCATAAACATTTTATAGTATAAGATTTTGAAGCTATAGTAAGGACTTCAGATGGCTAAAAAAAGCCTTCCCACAGAGCACGCAGAGCTAGCATTTGTATTTGGTTTGAAGTGATTACACCAGGATTAGAGGAAGGAAGTTTTTTTTTTAACTGATAGAATTCCATCATTGTTTAATTCACTTCTGGAACACTGAATTAACTTCAACACTTAAACACAAAAGAATGTTTTGGAGTCCCACTTGTTGGATCAATGCTAAGAAATCACTGTTGCAAAGTTATAGTTTTTTCCTTTTGTCTTTCATTGTATGTTTATTTATTATTGTAATGAGATTGTAATATAAATGCTTTTTGTGATTATAAGATTCAGCCATTTACTAACATTTGGTGGTTCAGCTTTTTCTCAGTGATTTGCCAAACATGATTTTTGTAAATATATGTGAAGGAATACAGCTTTGTATAAAGCATAGTGTGTGTTTATAGCTCCATATATGAAAAGAACAGTCTAAATACACATCCTCAACTGCTCTCTCAAGACCGTACCTTGTCAACCATGAGGAAGTTTTCTATTTTTTCTCCATCATTACAAGCAACATCTCCAACTTCTCTAACAGCTTGAGGTAAAAGCTCCTTCACTTCCTGAGCTATTATTCCTGTTCACAAGATAACAAAAAGTCAGGAAACACAGTGCCATACTACTGACCATGGTTGTCTGGTTTGAGTTGACTCTCTTAAAAGCTACAGGCAGGGCCAAACATGATCTAGAATTTCTCTATGGTAGGAAAACCCAGGATATCAGGGGTTTTTTTTCCATTCCACGGAAAACAAACAGAAACCTTTAGAATTCCTGGTTCTCTGCAATAAAAAATTGTCTGTGATCACATAATTCATTCTAATTAAACTTCTGGGAAAATAAACTCCTATCTTTAAAAATTGAAACAGAAGTTGGAAAATTACCAGAAATGCTTAATTTTGGCATTTTTATATCATAAGAGACACACAGCAAAGTGTGCAACTGTAGTATTCTGAGAAATGAGGATGAAATAGGAAGGGTGTTAAAAGATACTATGACACAATGAATAACAGTGGAAGTCAATGAAAAATGGGAACAGAGCGGACTGAATACCTGTTTCATGGGTGTTTTTTATTCCCATAACAGATGCAAATTCAGGCTTGTAGTCATACTCCACCAGCCTCATTTGTGTTATTCTTCTCAACTGCTCATTTGTGTCGACCTAGTTGGACAAATACCAACATTCACATGTTGAAACAATAAAAATGTCATGGCATCTAGGACATCGCTGAGATAGAACAAGCCTGACACGGACACTTGGCCAATCTTCACATTGAAAAATACGGACAATCTTCCCATTCCCCATTAGCAGAGTGCTATTTGTATTTGTATTGCCAGTAACTCTTCAGTCTTACAACTCCCATTTACACAGATATCCCAAGCCTCCCTGGGCAGCCTCTTCCAATGTCCGGAGGCGATGGCTCTACAGAGCACAGTGGTACATCTGGTTTCTTTAGGCCACCATTTCGGCTCACCAAGGATAAAGAAGTTGCTTCATGTGTCAGAACAATGATCCACACATGTGCTGCGGTGCAAACACAAATGGCCTAAATACTCCACAGCCCTCACCTCCCGGATATTCTGCTTTGCTCGGCTGTCAGATGGATGCATGACTCTGCCCATAACTTTTGCATTTCCACAGACAACCAGTGCTTCATCTGGCGCATCTGTGTTAATTCCTACTCGACCATGATAGATTATTGTCTCTGGAACATGTCCTCGCTGCCACAGTACATCACTGTCATTCTCAAACTGCCCTGGGTTAGATGCCTGGAAGAAAAAAATACGTTTAAAGATATGGTATAGATGTACTATTGCTTAACCAATTCAGGGAAAACGAAATGCCAAGTCTTTAATATTTAAATTGTATTCAAGAGCTTTTCTAACACACCAACAGAAAAAACCAGAGTGGAATCACTTCTAAGTGTTTCTGCTGACACAGCATTGGCCTCATTGCTTTTTCCCTTGAATTCTATTTTATTATCACCTTAAGCCAAAGTGTCAATGTCCAAAGCTTTCCAAATTTTAACTTTGATGTTATGCCACATAACCATTCTTTATTTACCAGCAAATTTAACTGAGGCTGGAAATCAAAAAAGAGCAAACAAGGAAGAGATTAAACACATGTGGTTCATCAAATACTCTGTAATGTTTTAAATTAACTCAAATTTCATGTCAAGGAAACGGAGCTTTTCAAGAACAATAAAACAAAGCAGTGTGTATAATAAGAAATGGCATTTGATTTCAATACTTGATTTTGTTATTAAAAAAAAAAAACAAACCAAAGGACCTTTGAATATAGGCTTTAAAATGTTACTCTGGACAAAAATATGCTCATGACAAGAAGTTCACACTCATTTAAAGAAGCCAGGCTTTCACGAGGCTTTGCCATCTACAAGGCATGGTGCTGTGCACTTAACACTGTTTGTCACAATTAGAGCATGATCTGATATGCCTGATAACCACTACTCAGCTGGTAGTTTCGTTATGTTTGAGTGTATAAAGGGCCAGAACATGAGTTGCTTTCTCTCACAGTGCGTTTGCATAGCTTTGCCACTTTAATTTGGCCAGTGGCTGGCTCGTTGTACCCTGTCACTGAAGCCCTGTCAGACATCTGGAAAACTATTTTTTTTCCTTTCCATCTATCCTGTTGATTTTTTCACCACTTCAGATCACACCCTCTTGACCCTTCTGCTTTTCTGCCTTCATTTTTCTTTGTCTGGAATAGTGGCCAGGTTGCCAAATCTCATTTCCTGGATTCCTATTATGAAACTGTCTCACTCACATAGAAGTAGCTCTCTTCATTGACATTTCAGAAGAACCTAACATTAAAAATGGTAGAAAAATCTTGCATAAAAATATATGTAAGGTAACAATAATCCCAAGGATGAGTCAAATGTGAAGATTCTACAGCTTTCCCAGTTTAGTAAAGAGTTGGTATTTGTAACACTGCTAGATGCAGAAAGAGAAATTCAGATGAAAGCAGTATTGTGGAAATTAATGGACAGAAAGAGAACTAAATTTGCAGGAATGATACAAACACAATGCTCAGTGTCCTGAAATAAAAGAACCCACAGCAACAGCGAGGATGATAAAACTTCTCATCAGGGCAGAAAACTTCTGAACTCCAAACAATGCTTTCAAAGCCCTTTCACAGCTCCACCCAGAAAGGAGCTCTTGGCCATAGTGCCCTCCAAAAACCCAACCATTTCTGCAGGAAGGTTTATGGCACAAGAGAACACAAAGTTATGGGCTAGACAAATAAGAGTCCAGGACTGAAGCCATCTGAAAGCCCTCATCTCCCTTTGGAAACCTCTGTGCAACAACACACATACTGGGGATTTTCACCTTTGCTCTCTCCAAACCCAAATGCTAAACCAGGCTGTAATCGTAAGCCTAGGCAGACAAAAAGGGCCCAAGCAATGACCTACAAAAATGATGCTAGGACTAAAAGCTTTTGACAGCCCTCACTTTTCTTTAAGAGCTCCTTTCCAGCCCCACTTTTAATACACTTGAGCTCAGTCTTATTTCAATCAGGAAGGACAGGCAGGAGAAGGAGGTGTCACCCTCTATGTCAATGACCAGCTGGAGTGCAATGAGCTCTGCCTGGGAATGAATGAGGAGCTGACTGAGAGCTTAGTTAGAACTAGGTGATGTTTAAAGTCCCTTCCAACCCAAACCATTCTATGATTCTAAACCAGAATGCTTAGCCTGCTCCCCACCATGAGACAAGGACTAGAAAGACACAGTGCAAATAAGAAGCAGCTCTTCGACTGGCCCACACAAAAAAATTCGCTGGACTGCAATCTTCCAGAGGCCCTTGTCATCCTTTTCAGCCCCACCACATGGCACCTACACATTTCCTGTCTTTCTAAGCCATAAACATAATCTTCACGCTAGAAATAACCACAACCCTGGGCTATGCACAGTTCAAATGTTAACAAGCTATTAGTCAAATGAAAAAGGGCCAGGACTGAAAGCTTTTGGCAGTCCCCACCTTCCCCTTCCAACTCCATTCATGTTGGGGCTCTGCCTTTCTATCCTAACCCTAACCTTCCATAGCTCCTGTTACAATAGAGCTCTGGGTTTTTTCTCTCTAACTCTTAATGTAGGCTAAAACCAAGTACTAAAAGGAAAGCTTTATGTGGATCAGGGGACTGAAAAACAATGGTCATGAGGAAGAGTGACAATTCTTCCTTTTTCTGTTCTGAAATTCATATTACAACCACCAAATCAAGAGCCAGGGCACTCTGGAATCACACTAGAAAGGAGCTGCTTGACTCTCTTTCCTTATTTTTTTTTTTTCCCTTCTCATTCTCCTTTGAAAATGAATCATTTAGCCAATGAAAGCATTTACCAAATTCCTGGCAAGTGCAGGAAATTGTTCTGCCTCAAAGAAAAAACAAGCTGGAAAAATCAATGTATTTTGTATTGGAATTCACAAGTTTTCTTTCTAAATTCTTTTATAGCTCTACTTATAATGGTTTAAAATCCCAATAATTAAAAGATAACAACACACTCATACAATATGCATCTCTAATTTTTTTCCTCAGTCTTTTTGAGGAAATGGCAATTTTTATGCCCAAGAATCACACACGTACACCCCCATAGTCCCCCCTTATATTGTGAATATCAAAACAGTAAATACTTTTCACATGAAAGCAATATAAATTTCTACCTACCCTCACAATGATCTTTTCAGAGATGCTTGCAGATAGGAGGTAGAATTGGTCCTGAGAGACAGCATACAGTCCAACTACCAGCATGAAGTATCTAATTTGAAATTGATTTAGTCAAGATAATAATTGAAGTAACAACTTCTCACAGAAAAAAAACGTTTTAAATACAACCACTATTACTGATACATAAAAAGATAGAATGTTTTTTAAAATGTATTTATGTTACAGTATGAAAGAGAGGTATTTTCTTTGCTCTCAAGTAATTTGCTCTTCAATCACTGCAAATGAACAAAGATTATGGTAATTGTGACAAATTTAAGTAAAGAAGACTCAAAGCCAAAGACCCTTCCTTCCTCAGAAGAAAATGCTCATTATTTGGTTTCTTAGCTTCTTGATTTCGTCAGCCATCATTATGGCTATGATTTCCCAAAACAATCTCCAACCATCAGGATGAGGTATTTTCCTCCTGTTTTTTCTGTCATTCTGTTACTCTGGAAGAGAGGCCTTTAAGCAGATACGAAATATCATAGAATTTGAAATAAAATCACAGATTTGGCAATGACAAGATTTTTCATAAGCATCAGCTCCATTCTAAAGCAGACTTCTATTTCTTTCCATTTCACACACGCGGGCTAACTAGCTACAGCAATACCTCTGGTCAGGATTAGGTTTTCCCTTTTTTCTCATATTATTTGCTGTTGTTTCACTGAAATGCAGCCTTCCCAGTGTTACTTTAGTTGTCTGGTCCCCTGGCAGATCAACTCTAAAATATAAAAGGAAAAAAGATCAGAAATAAGCATCTGGAGATCTACCTGGCTCAAGCCAGATTTCCTCAAAACTCCTTAGAACAGTTCTGAGAAAAAACTGACAAATGAAATGGAAAGAGGAATCCTAGTAAAAATGCATAACCCTGGTTTATAGAAATGCATTAAAAACACATAGATTATGTCAAAGAGATAAACGGGATAAAGCACCAGCAGTGGGAAACTGTTCTTAGGAACAGGAGTCTTGTGTTTATTGGTCTGTTTGTTCACAGTCATGAATATAATAAAATCTTATGTGTTCCATATGTTGGGTATTTGTTGCTTGCCAAGGTTAACATTGCTTATTACTGGATCTGAATGTCCACATTAAAATAAATACATTTCACTGTTTGTCTTTTTTTTCACCTGCCTCTGATTTGTATATCTGGAAGTATAACATATACACCTATGTCTCAAATACATAGTGGCACTGTTCCTGTAAGTAATAAATAATATGAATAAAGAGTCTGCATGGAGAAAACCACAGTCCACTGAACACTCACCCATGAAACAGTTTACGTGCACTCAGAATCTGTTTGTCAGTATGCAAAAGGAAGAAAAATGCCATAATAGAGGCAATTTAGTGAACATTGAGCTCTTTTCCCAAGCTCAAATTTCATTTTTGCAGATTATGTACTGCAGCCTTTATCCCAACACTGTCCTGTCAAATTTAACACTGTCTTATCTTTTTCTGGTTTAAGGCTTGTTTACTTATAAAGAACAGAACAGCTCCAATGGCAGAAGACACTTAACACCAGCAGAAAAAACACTGATTCTGCCAGTAACTTCAGAAACAGAAGAACGGCAGAGCATTTCGAGGAGAAGCCACATGTATGTTTCTAGCAGAGGCTCTCCCTCTTAAAAGCGCTTCTAATACGTCTCATGCCCACATAGGACAGGAACATTACTGACATTTTTGGAGAATGCACCTGCCATACAGCTCTAAACACCATACAACAGTGTTGCTAGCTGAGTATAAATATTTTGGATAGGCATGCTTAACACATTTGTAAAGCTGCTGAAAATATTCCTATAATGAAGGAAGATCAGGTATATATTACTACTGTGATTCTATGTGCACACCCAGAATGGAATTTGGATAAAGATCAGAAAACTGGCTTAGCGCTACTATAAGTTTCCAAAAAACAACTACTTCACATGTCAGTCCAAGCACGTATTGAAATTAAGTGGAATAATTTTCTCAAAATTCTTACATAACAGGATGGAAAGTTTTTTTGCTTCGATCTGACTGAGACTGTTCAATAGCAATTGTTTGATTTGGAGCTTCCACCTAAAAGCAAAAAGAGTATTCAAAAATGACAAGAATATTCTATTTTCAAACATATAAAATTTTGAACAGAAATTAATTGGCAAATTGTGTCTGAAACAGTGTAATCTCATTTCTCACTACATAGAAATTAACATGGGAACTGATCAACTGACACCTGGCAGCTAGTCTGAAGACCCAAATCTTTGTGAATGTAATTTGAAAGAAACAAAGGAAAAAAAAAAAAAAAAAAAAGCAAAGGAAAAAAAAAATGGAAAAGTAATTCATTAATTTGTAAAAGAAAAATCACTTTTTGAATCTAGACTTTTAAAATTGGCTCATTTTATCCCAAAGCATAAATGTAGATATGCAGCATGAGAACTGAACCTATGCAAGATAGTTCTGTAAGTTATTTTAATGCAAATTTCTGTACCTTTCTGGAATGGTACCAAGAAGCATTTTGCTTCAGATGGGAACAGATACAGTAACATTCATGAATTTCTTCTGAATTAGAGTGCATGAAGCAAAATTGGTAGTAACTGCCTCGTAAAACAGCTACACCATTTTTTTAAATCACTGAATTTCATTATTTTTAAATTACTGAATGTTCATTCACTGAAAAGTAAGTGAAAAACCTGGTAAAATCTTCCAGAAATATTAAAATTTCTTACTACTTCTGTATATGCAAGTTTGTGGACCCATATTGGCTTTGAAGAATTTGGTTCATAAAATGAAATGGAAAGCATGGCAAAAAGAGATGGGGAAAATTTGTTGGTTTTCTACATGTGAACTGTTCAGGAAAAGCAGGTTTTATTCTCTTTGTTTGCTTTGTGAATTGTTTTGGTTGGTTTTAAACACCTTTTTGACCAATGGGTAGACTTGCTACCTACACACCAGCTGATGCCCCTGCGCTGCCCACTGCAGGAACAAACTGTCAGCCAAAGAGAGGGAAGTCAGTGAAACCATGACAACTTTAAACATATACCAGCACAAGCATCCATAGAACATCACTTTTCTTGCAAAAGATTTACACACAGAAGTCACTAGTAACTTAAAAGTGTTCTCTTTTGTCAGTTCTTGGTCAAAAATTACGAAGAAAAGAATTCATTTCAATTATTAACTTCATCCTATGGATAACCACGTACTAACTTCTTAAATGTATTAATCTCAAAGAGGAGAAATACTTGCCTTTATTCCAAAAGCTTTCAAGCAAAACTTTTCTATTGGTTTCCCCCCGAGCTGAGTTCTGACATATTTTGGATGTCCAGTGATTCTAATATGGACTGTGATTTGGAAATGATTCTTCTTTTGGCACACAAAGGCATCATCTGTTACTGAAAAATTAAATCCTTTATCTGTGACAATGTGATATCCAACAGCAGGTCTACAAAAACAAGAAAAAAGAATAGCAACTTTAAGTACAGGCGTATTTGAGTGACATCTTGAAGATAATATGAAACACAATGTGGTCTGAAAATCCATCTGATTTTTACTGACAAAATGGGAGCCAAAGTACATCTTTGCAATCACCAGTCCTACCAGTATTATTTTCTTAGCCCCTAGAGGTGTAAAAATGAAAATGCATAAAAAGTGTACTCTGATTCTAGACTGACACGTGAAATGTTTGGAAACCAGAGGTGGAGAAGTTTACATAATCCTCATTTACTACTCTGGTATAAAGGAAGCCTGTGCACCTAAAAGCACAACCACACCATTTAGTGTATTGAAGCATTCATTACAACACTGCTATAAACAACAGAGTTGAACTAGTGCAGCAGGCAACATTGTGCTAATGAGCCAGAAAGACTCCCTATTTTTTTGTTCCCACATCAAATGCTTCTACAGAAGCTGCTGGGGCTCGAATAAGGCTTTACTCAAGCTAAAAGAAAAGCTATCAACACTGACCCTCTGGTCAAATGACTATAAAACTCTCCTTTATCCATCCTGTCCCAGTTCAGGAAACCCTATGCTATTTATTCAAAGGTCTGATTTGTCACCCAAAAAGAAAGTGTATTCTTTCCTTATGATTCACAGCAAACACGGAAAGTTATCAAAAGGTATCTTTCTAAAGGAGCCAGTGAACTCACCATCCCATCAATGCTTCCAGTTCTATAATTTAAGTGATGGATAATTCTAAAATAATAGGACTACATGGCAAGGTTCTCTTATATGGGCATTGGCTTTTCTTGCTGATGAAAGTGTGATAATGATGATCTCGTCTGATGCTACTGAGAACTTCTCATTAACACAATTATCGAAGATGGCTTTTCAGAACTCATCCATTTGTTTGCACATTATTAGTTGGAAAAACCAAAGCGTACAGGCTTTACAAGAAATGTACTAACCTTATTATCTTTTCATAAATTATGAACAAAAGGCCCCTTTCAAACAACCACTGGTTATTCTGTAACTGCTTCAAAAGTATGAAGTCATATGTTAATTCATATTTAAAATTATAATTGTCTAACAGCTCCTGAAACCGCCATTATTAAAGAAGTAAAACTTCTTCTGTTTCTTCCTACAACTGGTAGTTCTTTTCATTTATGTAGGAAACATATGTATGTCATAGTATGGAAAGGAGTAATTTTTCAGATTTAGGTATGATGCAAGTTCATTAGCTGATATCCTTAAAGCTATGTCAGAGTATTTATTTCCATGCAGGCAAGCAGGTTGAGAGGCAAAAAGTACCAATTTCCATTTCTCCAAGGTAAATTGTTTGAAACAATGACTCACAAAGAGGAATTTAGTATTTATCATTTTCTGAGTACACCATTTACAGTAATCAAGAGCAAACACATGTTTTGATCTGATTCCACAAAGAATGGTCAGTCTTACAGTAAAACTTGGAAGAATGTTTAGGTGCAAGGGATATCCCTGTCACACATGTGTCTTTACTAGAAATACACTTCAAATTCACCTTTCTTTTCAGAATTTGAGTCTTCAGACAAAGAAATAGACTTCAGAGTCTGTTTCTGAGACTAAGACTCTTTGGAACAGAGCCTCACCAGTCAATAGTGATGAGGCAAGAGGCTAAGGAAGTACCAAGCAGACACAATGCAGGGCATAATTAATGGTAGAGTAACCTTTTCTAATGAATCTACCTTAGCTAACAGCATTTTGTTGTGAAAATGAAATAATCAAAAGGTTAAAATACTGGATGAATAAAATGGAAAATAATAATTAACCTAAGAAATGCCTTTGAAGTGGGCACAGCAATTTCCAGGTTCAGGACCAATCTATCTACATTGAGCAGTGACAAACACATGACTCTGAGGCTAACAGAACACAGGATCACTACTGGAAAATCTGTGCACTGTACCATAATTATAGTGCATCTTGGAACAAAGACACTGCCATTGACATCACTTAGAAGTAACACTCACTTCCTCTGCAAATAGTATTTCAATCCCCTTTCACAGCAATAGCAACATGTATTTGAATGCTTTAATGCTCAGCATCATATTGTCTTTATTGACACAAGCCATCAAGAAATGTGAGTCTGGAACTTCAATTTTAAGTGTACAGGAACCAACACTCACAGCTCTCATACAGTTGTTGACTGAAAGCATAACAGGAGTTGGAATCCACTACACTTAGAGCGACAACTCGCATCACAAACACAGCTGAAGGTTTCTTAGTCCATCCAGCTCCCAAAGAGTAGAGAGGTGCAGGCACTGATCTGTCCACTCTCTTGCCATGTCAATACCTTAGGAGAAGGGTTGTGTGGGACACAGCAAGACATACGTTGCCCCTATCATGCTGTTCACAAACAGGGAACGTCAGTGTTCAGCAATGACACTGATACACTCCAGACTCCCCTGAGAGCCTGTAGCAGGCTGGGCTAGAGAAACCTTAATTTTTACTGCGCTATTTAAGTCCCATGGAGACAGTGATGAACTGCTTGCACCAGTCCTGGAGAACTGACCAGATACTGATGAAGGGGTTTTGTTGAAAGGGATCATTCACTAAATACTAGAACTGAGAAAACCAGGGATGTAAAGTGAGCCTGGAACGACATTTTCCCAGATCATGTGGCTAAAACCAATTCTTTATAGTTTTGATTTATACAGGAAAACTCTACATCTTTGAGTACATGTCATACATATATGTCTATATTTATTAGGACTTAGGTTATATAAACCCAAAGTAACACAAGTATCTTTGATTTTTATTTTTCTTTAGTATTTTAGGTGATTAGAGGGAAAGCTATATGGTCAGTAATTACTTGCCCCAATGTGTTCTACAAAATAAACAAAAATTAACAGGTATTTTAAGTAAAACTCATTCTTCGTTTGCCCCTAAATCCCTGAAGGAAAATCAGAAAACCTGGCATGAATACCAACCAGTGTTTAAAGTTCTGCTTATCTGACACATCCACAAGTTCATATTTCATCATGCCTGTAATACCTCCTTCTCCAGTCTTATTTGCAGTAAAAACAAGGGATGCCAAATGTATCATTTATTCCTACAAAACTACAATACCAGAAAACAAAACAAAACAAAACCCCACCACAGAGGAAGCCACTTTTTCCAAGCTCAGACGTCAGTGCTTACAGTTTTTCATAATTAGAGTTAAATAAGCTGTTCCACTGAGAAGTTTGATATGGTTGCCATGTTAGAGCTTGACAGCATTTTTCCAGAGCTGCATTCTGTCCATCACTGTCATATTCTTGCACTTCAGCAGCACAGTCGTTAACAGTTGCTGTGGGGAGATAGCGACAATTCAGTTATTACTTTTGTGACTAGCCAAAAATCCTGCAGAAACATTTTTATAAATATATTTACATATATATACATATAAATAAAGGACAAATATATTGCATAGATATTTAAATCTGATTGCCCTCTACAGTTATTCCAAAAGATTGTGTTATATTCTCTTCCCTAGAAAACAAAATTTTCAGGTTTCCTGATTTGCAAAATATTACACAAGTAGCACTTCCTATTTTTATTCTCTCCAAAAGGATGGAGAGTTTCTTTTAAGAGGGAGGAAAGAAAAAAGAAAAAAGGAAAGCTAAGCATTTTACTGTAAATCTGCAACACTACAAGAAGCAATTAAGCAAAATAATTACACGTTTCCTTTTCTCTCTACTACAGGTTTAAATTGAATTTATTCCAGCTCACTGCAACAGGTATTTTGTCCCAGAGCAGGAGGCATGGTTTTCCAATAGCAAGTACATTCACCACTACATCTGATTGACTTGTTATTGCTTTCTGAGCATTCTGAGATAGACAGGGTCAACCATAATTCTCTGAGATATTATACATTTTATGAAGACAGAGTAAAATGTGGTAAGAGGGATGGATAAATGAAGTGCAGTAATGACAGAAGAAAATAAACCATTGAGCATATAAACTAAGATCTATTCACAGCCAGTGGCAGCACAGTAAGACACAGCCTACAGAACCATTTCAGGCCCAAGTTTCATTTGCAGTTCCCTGCTTTGGACATACAGCAGAGAGAAAACATATAAAAAGAGAAACAAAAACCCCACAGAGTAAAGAAATTCACATCTCATTTCTAAATTATCCCCATTTCATTTTTATCAAGGCCTGTGTTCTTCTTCCAATAGCATGTGTGTCAGTGAGATTTTATTAATAGTGACTCCCAAGGAAAGCATATTTCAAAGCTGTGTCTATAAGTATTAAAACCAGCAAGAGCAATTTTAGACACAGAAGTGTCTGCCTGTCTTCTCTTTCCAGCAAGGGTAGACTTAAGAGGGCTAGCCACAATCAAGAAACACTATCAAATAAAAGATACCAAAGGAAAAGTAACCTACTAAATCCAGCTGCTACTCATTAAAATTGTTCTAGAAGACTGATTTAATGCCGAAAAAAATCTTACTCTGAAGAAATAACAAGCAGCTCTCAGATTTTCCACTGCAGACTATGCAAGTATGGAATTCCTCAGATGAACTGTTCATTACAAACCCTTCATTCGCAGAGAGTCTCACACTTCACAGAAGCTGATCCATTTCTGTACTTGCCTGATAAGCTTGTTTGTATCAATTGGTATAAGCTTAGCATTTTCATCTTGATAAAACAATGAACTGAATTAATTTGGGGAAGGGGAAGAACACACAGCTTTTACCAAGTTTGTGCATGGATACATCTAGTAGTAAAAAATCGGAGTTGAGGTGATAAAGGGAAACTGCAATCCGTTTGCTCATCCACTACACTAATTCCCTGTTAAGCTGACCCAAGATGATTTCTTTGCCCAGTCAATTTAGCGCCAAGCAAAGTCAGCAGAGTGTGGTATCATCTGTGTACTGCAGGCTTACACATGAAAAAGGGCAGAATATTTTGTCCAAAGAGTCCTCAGGAAACATCAGCCTCTAACGCCTCTCCTCTCTTCACTCAATATAAATAAGTCCTGGTTTTCAAAAACACTGAAAAGATAAATTCCTCCAAACCTGGTGTGGAGCACAGACTGTTAATAACACATTACCTTTTCAGAGCCAGCAAGAGCTGTGCTCTTAAAATATTTACTTATATATGGCATGAACCACTACATTTCATCTTCACACACTTGCTTACCTTGTCTGGAGTCAGGAGCCTGGACTGGAGAATCAGTGGCATCTCCCAGTAACTGTGAGAGCTTCCTTTTTTTGCCTGATGCTGCAGAAATACTTTTTTAAAAACACACGTTATATTACTCATTTATAAGTTTAAATACAGATATTACAGAATCATAAGAAGAGAACCCCCAGGTATCTCATTCTGACTGTACTGTCATCCAGATTCTCATTTGCCGGGGGAGGAGATGGTCATTAGCTTTTTAAAACTGAATTATGCAATTTTTTCCTTCCAAAACATAAATTTGGTTTGATTTTTTTTTAATTTCATATGAATAAGGAAGCTCATCCTTTTTTAAAATTTACACAGTGCATAAACAGCAGGGGTTTACTGTTTCCTGACATTTGCATTAAAATCACAGCTGTATCTTGAATAATTGTAGTGCACCAAGTATGATCTCACTTTTCTTCTTATACAGAAAACACTAGTAGCAGTTAAGTTAATGCCTTAATGAAAAGATCTTGAGGGGCAACTGCTGGGTAAGTCTTCTATTTCCCAGAAAGTGAGATTTTAAAAAATGCTCCTTTGCGCAAAGAAGAGGAAAAATTATTCCAGAGGTTTTACATTATAAAATGTAAATTAGAATATCCTGACAGATGGTTGCTCCTTCCGGGTGGGGGAAATAAAAAGCCAAACTCCAGGTCCCGGTCAGACCCAGTAGGTATTCAAATTAAGGTTTCTCCACAAAGAGAAGAAAAAACACAATAATTTTGATAGGTTTTCTGGGCTTGTTCCAAAGTTCCACATTTGATCAAGAAGTATTTTGTATCTTAAGTTCAAATAACCAACGTATTCCCTCAAAAAAGAATAGAATTTTTACTAACTGGCACCTTCTACTGGAAAACAAAGAACACAAATGGTTCCACTGAAAAACCCAGGCCCAGCTTCTTTCCCCCACATCACATGTAACACGTAATTGAGCTCTGTACATGACACAGAGTATCTGCAAGCCCAGGACTAATAGTGATGAATTCACATTTCTCTCCCCTTAACCAGGGGGAGCCCCCTCTGGCATGCAGCAGTTAATTCATTCTTACTAGGTATCACAGTTGGATGCTTGCACTAGCCAGTGTATTTTAAATAATTAAGCATCCACAACACATCCACAACAGGCTGGTGGGTGAATGTGGCAGATGGCATTTGAATACCATTTCACTTGCTTACATAGATATGATACCAGTTTTTTTGTATCTCTCATCTCACTTGTCAAAACACAAGATCCTTATGGACAAATCCCTATGATAGGTATTGCAAAACGCCTGAATATTTTTCTACCCCAGTTTCGAAGCGCCTGTTGATCCCTCCTTAGCCTTCTAATGTTTTAAGAATTGAAATCCATTTCTACTTCCAAACTGAACTTCAAGTAAGATGTTTAAAGAACCCTCAACCACAAGTGTCTCAAAAATGCCTAAACACTGCCATCGTGTGGAAAACCCTACAACCACAGGGATTTTACACCAGTCCTAAACCTTGTGTTCTAACAGGTCTGCTTTTTTCTACCTGTTGTATGAAAGCTTTATCATTTACCCAGAAATCTGAGCTGCATTTGGCTGAAAGTATGAATAATTAAACCCCAAACAGCTGGAGGATGTAGAGTGATTCCAAGGAGTTGCAGCATTTCCTGTCTTCAGGCAGCAGCCTTGGGGGATGGTGCAAGGATGCCCACTGGCACTGAAGTCAGAGTGAGTCTCCGTGAACCTGCAGGGAAGCCTGCTGGGTGCCACAGCAGATGGGCATGGGAGTGGAGGCTGCAGCGCACTGGGCCACATAGTGTTGTACCATGGGGCTGCAAAAAGCAAGCAGACAAGAAAGTAAGGATGAGGAAGAGGAGCTGGAGACCTTCCTATAAGCTTGGGAGAGGCTGAATTTATGTGACCTACTCTGGAGCTGTGGCGGAGAACATGGTTCCGATCCAGAATCCGGTGGGGAGTCTGGCAACTGGCTTTGCCTAGGGATGAAAAAGAGATTTTCGTTTCTACTGCCAGGAGACATGGAGGATGACCACAAAGCAATGCTGAAAGCACCTGGAGAGGGACCATCAGGCTACTGACAAGTCTTCAGGAAGCATTGCTCGCCGTGGTTGCTGCCCTTTCTCACAGCAGCAACATCACTTACATGTCTTCAGACTATCTCCTATGGCCCTCAATCTCTCCCCCATGAAGGGAGACCCCATCCCTTCCAGCTCCTGCCCAAACTTCCTTCCACAACCCACCAACTTCAATCCTCTTTCCTCCCCATAAGCAGTTCTTCATTTACCTCTGGGCACACCAGCGACTATGAATACACAGAGCTCACAAGCGCTTTAAACCCATTCTCTGCAGGCTACAGGGTAAGGATCTGTACCATCTTCATCCATTATCAGATTTCTTCAGACCTTAGTTTGGCCAAAGCGCTCTTTGTCTCTGTCAGATAGATGGTAGCAAGTCACATTTTAGCACCTAGAGGTGCAGCCCAGATGCAGAGGGAAGCGGGGGCTGCTGCACAACTGGGAAGCACATCGGCCCAGTTGGAAACAGGAGCTTTCACCAGTTCACAAAAAAATGCAGAAGCCTAATGTGGGGTTTCTACCGGTGACAAGCAACCTTCCCTCTGTTCAGTGCCGGGCCCCCGTCCTGCCCCGGCTGCGGCCCCGGGGAGGCGCCCCGAGT